AGGTTCTTGATATTTTGTTCCAGAACTCAGCGTGTTGCGTGTGGTTGTTTGGGGCGTATATGTTGGCGATGGTCAGGTGTGTGTTATGCCATTTTGTTTTAAGTGCCAAGGCTCTGCCGGGGATGATTACTGTCGTTTCTAGTTCATTCGGGTTGAAGATTTCGGTGTTGATCACTACTGCTACCCCTGCCGAATTACCTGGGCGGTGTGGGTCTCTCGAGTTTATGACTTTGATTCTTCGTGAGTATAGTTCATTTATTCGTGTTTCGTGTTCAGGCAGTAGGTGCGTTTCTTGGACGCATAGTATGCCTATCTTTTTCTCTCTCATAATGTGTTGTATTGTTGACCATTTTGATATTTCACTGTTCCCTAGTTGGGGGGATGCACGGCCCTTCATGTTCAGGGTAGCGAGAAGAATGTTAGCTCTCGTTTTCTTTTTCTTTCTGATGTGAGGTGTGTCTCTATTGTTGTTGTCTGCCTGGTGTGGCGTTGGAGCTGGGGGTCCGCCTCCAATCTCCTGTGTAGCGTCATCTGGGTTGGCCCCGGCGGTTTGAGGGCTTCCCCCTCTGCTGCTCAGGAGGCTCGAACCAAGGCCGGGAAAAGAACCGTAAAGTGAGTTTTGATTGTAAGTTTGCTGAGTGGTCGAACTACTACGCCATCTGAACGACCATTAAGAGGCGAGGGCTGTCATATCCCGGGCAGCCACGGTGGATAGATGTTCACGCTATCTGAAAAAACGAGTCCTGTACTCATTGAGTCTTCTGCGGTCACTTCAGCTTCTCAGCACGGCTAATCCTTGGCCTGAATAGGCCTCCATTTTGGCATACGCCGTTAGGGCTCCTTTGGCTTTCCTGTCTTGCTTCCGCAATCAGTAAATTTGGGCCGCAGGTGAAGGGGTTGGTTGGATCTAGCCCTGTAGATCCAATTGATGCAGTTTGTGGCTGCTGTCAGGGTCGTGCGCACCTTTGCATCATTTAGGTTTTTGTGAGGGGGGTTTATTCAAGTACGTAGTTACATGATGTATGCATATGTGCAAGTTAGCTATAGTATCACGGGGGCGGGGTGGCAAGTATGTGTGTCAGCTAGTAAGTGAGTTCTCGGGCGGGGGCTCTCCTCCCTTTGCCTCTACCTCTTTGGCTCATATTGTTGTGTCTCACGGTCGTGTTGTGTTTGGGTCCATTCCAAAGTGGGATGTTTGGGAACGGGCAGAGGCCACGGGGGTGGGCAATTGAGTGGCAGAGGGGGCAGGGCATGAAGTTGACTGCCGTGCCATTTCCTTCGAGTTCAGATGGGTAGGTTAGGGAGTGAAGGTAGGCTCTTAGCTTCGTCCAGACTGAGGGATTATTGGTGAGGCTGATCGCGAACACATTGTACCGTGGGAGGAGGATGCCTCCGCTGACCTTGAAGTCGAGGCGCTCTATCCACAGTGATCTGATGAAGTCCCATGCTGCGGTGTGGACTTTGTCTTCAGGGAGATCCCCTTCGGATAGGATGTCACAGATGTCCCATCTGGTGACGTCATCCGACCATGCTTCGTAGACGGCCGTTCTGACGGTTGCTATGTCTGTGGTCGAGAAGCCGTGGAGGCAGAAGAGGAGTAATGGAGGGGAGTTGACTTTGAATTGGTGAGCTGCGAAGGTGATTTCGGTTGATGACCAGATTCGTTGGTCTAGAATGAGTGATTTTGTTTCGTCTGATATGTTGTAGATCAGGAAACTGAGGGGGTGGTCAGAGCCCTCTTTGATGGCTTCTGGGCAGGGTGGGGAGACTTTCACTTCTTGGTCGTCTTGGTGGACGAAGTGAGCGATCTCAGCTACCGCTATGCGTAGGCGTTCGACTAGTATTGGGCCTTTAACAGAGGGGTTTTTCCCGTCGTGGTCAAAGACTCTCACAAGGATCTTGGGGTGGGGTACCTTGAGCCATGCGGTGATGACTTTTGCCGCTTGGAAATCGAATAGCTGTGCTGCGTGGGCCAAGTGAATATGGGGGAAGCCACCAATTGGGGTGGGTGTGAATTGGGGGATGACCATGAGTGAGTTAATGCCGTTGGACTTAATGATGGAGCGATTCGTCTCTGCGACCGCTAGGTGAGCTCAGAGAAGGTCTTCCTCAGATGCTTGTGATGTTGCAGGAAGTTGGGTACGAGCTGGGGTTGGGTTGGGTGTAGAGACGAGTAGGTCTGTCATTGCTTCATCTTCCGTGGGGGCGGGGGTCTGCGCAGGGGTTTGGGGGTGGGTATCGGTATCGAGGGGCATCTCTACCTCTAAGTCCTTTGTGAGGGTGAGGGAGTTGGTGGTTGGGGTCGTCTCATTCTCCTCAGGTTCTGAGGGCGGGATTCGCTCGATGTGTGGGCGGGGGGATGGTGATGGGGTATCAGGGGGGGATAGTCCCTCTGCGGTGCATTCCCCTTCATCTGTTAGGACGTTGGGCGGGAAGAATTGTGAGCCTGTTCGCTGATGTCTGTGAAGGGAACTGGCGGATGCCCATAGGAGAGGGGCGGGCATTGAGGTTCGCAGTTTTTACGCTGGATATGTCCTTCATCTTTGTGAGCAGGTTGGGGATTACTGCTGGTGAGGGGGGGTCTTTTATACTGGGGTTTTCGGGTGAGGGTGAGGGTGAGGGGCGTTACCTTATGGCTTCATTATGGTAGTTTGAGGTAGGCTGTGTTCTCTTTATGGCTTAGGTTCATTTGTTTATCAGGGCGTTTGGGTGGGGGCTGGCTTACATGTGTCTCGGTTGCATATGCTGTTGCGGGATGAGGGGAGGTAGGGGTTCTTATTACACTTGTTGTGTTCAGTAGGCGGTACACGTACTTGGGCCGTTGTGTTTTGTCGGGTATTTCGTGTTCCGTGCACTTTATTATGTTTTTAGTTTATATGTGCGTGATGGGTGTGGTCCGGTTGGGTGATTGGGACGGGTTTTCAGTTTTCAGTTTTCAGTTTTCCTTCTGGGGTTGTGTGTGGTCTTTTGTCTCATATGTTGTAGTTTGACGTATGGCTGGTGTTCGGGTAGTTTGACTGCCTCGTTCTGGTTTTCTTCGGGCGTTGTACTTGGTTGAGTTTGGGTATGTGGGGAGTTTACTCGCGTTGATGTGGTTATATAGGCTGGGTTTCGGACTATGTAGTATCGGTGAGTTCAGTTTCGTTTCGTTTCTAAGGTGTTTATTTGATTCATGGCCAGTTGGTACTGTGAGCTGCGACGGCTCTACCTTGCCCGCAAAAATTTTGCGTGGGAATTTCGTCCATGGTAGTGGTACGGAATCAAGGGCCCCCTCTTTAAGTACATTTCGGCTATCTTTAAAGTTTAACTGGCGCACTCACCTATAAAGGCGGATGCGCCAGTGCCGCAACATCTCAGTTTCCTAAACGAATACTGAGATGTGAGTATTTATCGCTTGTAGCGTTTGACGAATAGTCTAACGCGTTTTCATAGTCGTACCTTTTGTCTAGGTACAAAACATTGTTAACAGAGTTTCCTAAACGAATACTGAGATTCGTACCTTTTGTCTAGCGTCGGCTTACCTCCTCCGTTCTACGAACGAGACGAAGTTCGAGGCTGTGTGCTGCGGCTACAGCTTTACATATTTCTCGAATTGCAGCAAATCTAGGTGCCTATTCAAGCTGAAATTTCCGGCGACGGCAAGGGGTCAATTTCTCCCGCGCAAAATATCCGTTGAAGCCTGGAAAGTGTCATTTCGACTCACTTTCTCCTGGTTTCCTTTTGCAACTTAAGTTCAGAGATTACAGATACAGGATGCGCTGTGAGCTCTTTCCCAACAATCGACGCCTCACTCGAAATCATTGCGCATGCAATATCAGGTGACAATGATGCTAATTTTAATTTTCAGCTACGATCACATAATCAAGCTCGTAAATAACCGAACTTTAAATTGATTCATTTACAAACTCAACTCGGAATGCAAGGCTTTTACCCTATACGTACGTCGCCTCTTTTATCTACCACATGCTTGGTGATCCTATGATCCTGTTGCAGTTCAGTGATCTTAAATGCCTATATCTTCCTCGGCATCCCCAATGTCAATTTGCCGCCCGGGTATCCAGCTATCCATCCACTATCAGCTTACTTCTCATGCGTCAAAATCGCATGCATCAAGACTGCAGGTAATGCCGTAAGTTGACTCATGTGGCGGAGCATCGATCTCACTGCTGTATCCAAATAGACAAAGAGTCGAGAGGAACTTTCGGTATTGGGCGATGCACAACCGCCTTTTTGACAAAATTCTGTATCTGTCGCCTATGCGATCTTTCTCTGCAAGGAGGTGGATTGATACGACTAAATAATAACTTCAAAGCGGCAGGCACAAACTCGGACCGACCGAATCACCCTGGAATACAGGATGTCTTGGCCTCTATTCTTTTTTACCAGCGTCGTCACATCGCAGTTTCCCGCCAACTAGCCGTCAATACTTAATCTTCTCTCGGAGTTGTTTATGTCAGTCAGTCAGTCCTTCGTGCCATAAGATCCGACAGAAAATCATCGATTTCATAGACGACCATATGCATCAAGTGGTGGCCTGCCAAAGGTAGGCTGAAAGGGCAGTGACGATCAGCATCCTCAATTCAATCAACATTCCAATGTCGCCACTTACAGTTGGTGCAGGTTTATTTTGGAGGATGGTCTCAATTTTGTATAGGATCTCAGGCGTTAGCTTGGGAATGACGTCTAGTGCCTTCAAGTTATCGACCACCTGCTCAGGCTTGGAGGCACCGAGGATGACGGTGCTCGTGTTCGGATTCTTTGCAATCCATGCCAACGCCAAGTGTGTGACGCTACACCCCAACTCTGTCTCGGCGAGCTCTGAAAGCGCTTGGACTTTGCGAATCTTGGAGAGACCCTCCTCCTCGCTGAGGCTCTTCAAAGTATCCTCAAAGAATTCGGAGTGGGCAGCAAACCTCGATCCTTCTGGGATTTCATTGTTATACTGAAGATCGCGAATCATCAGCAGTCTGATCTGCAGTCTATCTTGGGAATGTCGATTACCTTCCCAGTGAGGAAACCGCTAGCCAATGCAGACCAAACGGTGGTTCCGATGGAATATTTCTTGTAGATAGGAGCGTATTCCTTTTCGGGGCGTTCGCGGTGAAACATGCTAGATACTCATCAGGATGCTGGATCTCGCAGTATATTTGTCAACTCACTTGTGCTGACACTGCTCAGCGATAGGAGGAATCAGGTTGAGCTTCTCAGCGATGTCTAAACAACATATTACATCTGGGTCATTCGAGAAACAGGTGAAACGCACGGTAAGCCTCCTCAATGTCCCTGGCGGACCATTCTGATGTGGCCCAGTAGAATGCCTGAAAAGATTTTGAGAAGGACTAAGAAACATGAGCCTTGAGACTCACCCAGCCCTTCTCAATGACATAGTTAAAAGCGCGGACAATCTCCTCCATCGGTGCTGTAAACGATGTCTTCAATGTCTATGTTTGTGGTCACAACTTCAAGCGTACTGGTGTCATCAGGTCGGTGTGCGAAGAGGACATCAACATAATCGAGGCCAAGACGATCCAATGATTCCTGAGTACCTTCAATAATGCTAGGCCGACGATAAGTTCACGTGACCTGATTCAAGCTTTATTCGCGCTCACTGTTTTCTGGAGAGACCAGTGTCATTCGGACCAGTACGGGTACCAAAGAACAATTTTGTGGTGATGATCAAATCAGAGCGGCGGTAACCAAGTTCTTTGATAACGCGACCCCTGTCCAGAGGCCATGTTAAACTTATTCGACGAGGCTTCCTTTAGCACGCACATTTCAACTTCCGAGTAGCCCTTTGCATAGCCCTCAGCGGTGTCAAACATGTTGATACCATTCTCGAAGGCAGCTTTGATAATTTCCTGATCGTGAGACCGAGTTGAGGCTTGCCATTCACGTGTAAGCCTAAAAATCCAGGCTCCCTTACCTTGACAGGGTCACCAACAACAGTTCCTCCCAGCGTCAGCCCTACGACGTATTGTCAGCACCATGTAATGCTGTACCAATTAGCAAGCTGCTCACATCCACCAAGTGAGAATACCGGCACCCGTAGGCCGCTGGGGCCCAGACGGCGGAAGGGCATGTTCTTAGGGTCGAACTCCGTTTTGACAGACATGGTTTATACGGTGATGGTGTACGGTAGGGTGGTTATTGCATGGGACTTTACAAAGGCTTCAACTCAAGTTATATATGTATGTGAAACTAACACATCTCTAAGCGACACTGTCTCCGCCTCGTGTCAAAACCCAATGATACTATTGACAGGGGTGTTATACACGAATGGTAATTACATCCATGCTCATGCATACAGTCCGTCCAAATGTAGAGAGCAGTACATCGACTTGAAAATCTAGAACTAACATGAACTAACATCAAATTTGGGCGAGCGCGAAAATTCTTGCGTTCCTACAAGTTCAAGTGAATCAACTCCCCCACTACAACATCAAAAACGGACTTTATTGGCTATTCGTACTATATCGTTTTTCCATTTTCTCGCGCAAAGCAACTGCGTCTTAACAAGTTTCCGTTGTTTACCGTGCTATATAAATATAGATTCTCTCTCTTTCCCATACGTTAGTCGAGGATTTTCCCGACTAACGCCTGGCTCTATTTCAACACAGTTATATCGACTTCATCAGACTCTATTTCAAGTACAAAGCAAAGGTTTTCGACGTGCAACAAGTGAATTGGAATCAAAATCTGAGCGATTCAAGCTGGTACTAGTAGACCATGTACAGATGATACGTGTGAGTTCTTACTCATGCTTCTCAGTCAAGATCTTCATGATGTCATCGCGACACCACGAGTACATACTCCGAGTCGGAAGACCATAAGAAATCTGTCGAACAACGGGATTCCGTGTTCCCCCGCCTTATGACAAGACGAACTCAAATGTTTGATGTTCACATGGGTCAATCACGGCACTTATCTAAGACAGCGAGACTGTTGATACTGGGAATTTATTTTCCGACCACGAGGTGCACTCTATCAATCTCCCCTTCTCACAGACGGCCGTTGGGATCTAGTGGCGGGCGACCAAATGTCGGCTACAAGCATCAAGTTTCAGCATCGTGAAGTTTACTCATCAAAGGCAAGCATTTACCGGGCCAGATGGCTGGTTCTCCAAAATCGCTTCAATCCTGTCCATTATCTCCGGTGTGAGTTTGGGGATAACGTCGAGAGCCTTCAAGTTATCAAGGACTTGCTCAGGTTTCGAGGCTCCGAGGATGACAGTGCTTGTGTTCGGGTTCTTTGCGACCCACGCAAGTGCCAGATGCGTGACGGTGCAACCAAGCACTATCAGGTGCGTGTCAGTTCGATCAATCGTGTGCGACAAGGGAGGAAATACCTTGTTCTGCGAGTACGCTTAACTCATTGACCTTGCGGATCTTTGTGAGACCCTCCTCCTTTTGCAAGCTGTCCACCGTGCCCTTGAAAAAGTTGGAGTGCGTCGAGAAACGGGTTCCATCTGGGATACCGGCATTGTACTGCATCCGAGATGAGAAAATGATTGTTGGCTTATTGGGAGCAGCACACCTTTCCAGTAAGAAGACCGCTAGCAAGAGCGGAGAAGACGGTGGTGCCTAGTTGGTATTTCTTGTACAAAGGACTGGTAAATTTGTCTTAGCCACTGATCATAACGAAAATGATAGTGACCCACCGGTACTCCTTCTCGGGGCGCTCACGATGGAACATGCTGACCAAGGACTTAGAATTCACAGTCGAAAAGATGGGGGGGAGGGGCACTTACTTGTGTTGACATTGTTCAGCGATGGGTCCATGGAGTCCAAACTTCGATGCGATATCTGTAATAACCACTCGTCAGCAGTGCTCCTGACTCCCTAACACAAAAGAGCTCACGCTGCGCCTCCTCGATCTCGTATGCAGACCATTCTGACGTTGCCCAGTAGAATGCCTAGAATGCTGTGAGTACTTCGCTCTTATTCTCCTACTCAGGCGACATACCCAGCCCTTCTCGATCACCCAGTTGAATGCGCGCACTACCTCTTCCATGGGGACTAAACAATTTGATTGAGCTGATTTGATCCCTTCAGCGAACATGGATAACCATACCTGAGACATCCGGGCGGTGCGCAAAGATGACATCGACGTAGTCAAGACCAAGACGCTCCAGAGAGTCCTTAGTTCCTTCAATAATACTGAAAACTAGGTCAGCACTCTCTCTTGAGTGCAGTCGCAAATGACTCACTGTTTTCTCGAGAGACCACCATCATTAGGACCAGTACGCAGACCCCAGAATAATTTGGTGGTGATGACAAGATCTGTCCGGCGGAGGCCGAGCTCCTTGATTACGCGACCCCTTCCCTCGCAGTCAGCTTCAATGCTCGCCAAGGTGTCGAAGAATCTCACATTTCCAATTCGGACTTGCCTTTTGCGTAAGCCTCTGCGGTATCGAACATATTGATACCATTGTCAAATGCGGTTTTTATTATGTCCTTTTGGTGGGTGGTCGGATGCTCTGATATTTTGAAGACTGGAGTTTAATTAATGCTCACCTTGACTGGGTCACCGATCACAGTTCCACCAAGAGTAAGCCCTATTAAGTTCCCGTTCAGCACCATCAAGCACGAATAGTACACGAAATAAACATACATCCACCAAGCGAGAAGACAGGGACTCGGAGACCACTAGGGCCGAGCCTGCGGAAAAGCATGTTCTTGGGGTCGAATTCGACCTTGACATCAGATCCAGAAGCCATTGGTTGTTTGTGAGAGATATTGAAAATGAGAGGAGTTGGGTAAGGGGAATAAAGTCTTGAGTGTGTCGGTATTTAAAGAATTCAGTCATTGCTGCTGCGGGCCGCCGTCACCACCGACTTGACGTGCGGCCAATCATCGATCATCGATATCGTTCCAGGACCACCATGTTGTTGTCGAGACATGCCAAAGTCAAGCGTCAGGTGACCTACGAACATTTGAGCGTGGCATCAATCTCAAGCTCGGAAGAGTGCTCAATCGGTGAGCACATGTGCTTATGGCCGCCTGTGCATAGGTGGGTATAGTAAGATGACATGCGGTCTTCGTAAAAATATCGGAGAAATGTGCTAGGTTTTTGATGGGCGACTGGCCGACTCGGAGGGGCCTGTCCACGTCATGATCTAGCCTTCCCTTCGCATTGTTGGGCATGTGGATGCGTGTACTTAGTAGCACATGGCAAGATCTGCAAGTTATTACGTGCGGTGTGGCTTGTATAGTTTAGCTGCAGCCTGCTCTTATCCAAAGAGGGATGACATTGGCACAGTACTCCTGGCATCGACTGTGACATCCAAGTCAGGAACACGACGTCTCGACTTTCATGTCTGCATCAGCTTTCTCCAAGGGGTTTCCTGACCTGTAGACTAGCGCAGTACTCCTGGCATCGCCTGTGCCAACCAAGTTACAAGCAGCCGAGATGGTTACATCTCGCAATCAAAGCTCAAGATTGAGTACACCCAAAAAAAATTCGGGCATGTGTGAAGTTGAAGACTGTATGGCATCATCCCGAAAGGCACCGTCACTCACAGCATTTATAAGTGTCCTCCGGCAGCCTGGAATGACATGACGCGATGCGACAAATGCAGCTACAGTCTAGTACGAATAGACTGATGGGTCGTGGTGAATACATGTCAATTATCTCGACATCTATATCTACCTCTCTGACTGCTGAGCCTAAGCAGGTCGGGGTAGAGCAAACTCAGCAAAGTAGTAGGTGCAATCACGGTTGGTGGTGCGGATCAACAAAGGGCCCGGTAAAGCCCGAGATCACAACAGTTTGCATGTAGCGCACGTGACGCGGCACGGCTTCAAAGCTTCAGAAGCTTCATGCAGCTTGTTCTTCCTCTCTCTCTCGAGCAGAGCAGGCCGTCCACTGCAGGCCATCCACTGCGCCTAATCACATCAACTCCAGGATATTCCACGACTCCAAATCTATCCCTAGATTCGAAGTGTCTCTATGGTAGAGATAGACGTGGATCTCATTCCAAAGCTCCTGATTGTATTTGAGACTTCAGCTAGATGACTTCATTGACACGAGGGCGTCATGTGAAAATCACATGAGCGAGAGCCTTAACATGATTTATAAGAGACCCTGGTGTTTTCCAACTCTAATGCTCTAGGGGGGTATACCGTATCATATGGTTCAGCATTGGAACTGATATCGATATCCACAATATCGACCGCAGCTCGTAATATAATATCCGACTCCAGTTAGATCTACAATTGAAAGACGCCCCCTGAGGACGGTTGACTATCTTTTCCGCTCATATTATCAGACTGAACGATCTCCTCGGTAATATGCACAGCCACCCGTTGCATGTTGAAGTTGTGGTCCCGCGTATTTCGTCCTCGAAAGAGGTTGGTGAGAATGCCACCTATTTCAGAGGACTGTTCGCTCGAGGAGTGGCCGCCAACGTGGAACTGTACTTGGAGAATGATGAGACAGAATGTAATCCCCTGGAAGACTTTATGAATATCTTGTATGCAAACCAATTCATTTTACTTACTACAATCGGAGGGATCACAGCGAGCATGATGTATTCGCCATTGGATCCGACCAAGAATGATATAAGGAGAGCGAGCACACTCGTGGCATATAAAGCGCCACTCTCAATGACGACGATGAAAACGGGTAAAAGGGTGGCAAGGCCTCCTGGCATAAAACGGCGAGTTTGATAAATTCGCCATGCAATTGAAACTGTGTTATTCTGGTCATCAGTAGCCACAAAGCATGTGCGATAGACGTACTGGTACAGACGACGCTGACAAACATGGTTAATGTATAGAATGTAGTGATACATCCTGAAGCGGCGGCGGAAACTTTGGACAGTGCATAGGCCCGAGAGAGGGACCAAACAACATAGTACCCGGTAGCTGCAAAATGACAAGATCAGACGATAATCGGATGATACCCTTCGAAATGCTCACCCGCATTGACTACTAGTACGATACAACCGAGAATGGCAACAAAGCGGCTTTTGTGGTTAAGTACGTGACATCGCCAAACCTACTCTATTCAAAGGGAGATCAAACATTCAAGTGGAGAAACTTACAACTACACCATCAGCAAGAGTGGTTTGTGTAATGTAAAGTGCTTTCGATGCAAGATCCAACGGGGAAGCGAGGTCCGAATAGTAAGTATCTGCACCAATCGTATCCACCTTGAATATGAAGGCTTCTAGCGCTCGAACAAAATCGATTATTAGATGCTAAAAACGATCATGTTGAGCAATTTTGCCAAGAGGTTTGGTTATTAGACTCACAGCTGTTGCAATACAGAGTAGTATGGTTGCCACCGGGACGAGAAGTTGTCGTTGAATGCCGGTTTTATTGAATAAGACGAATATGGTCAACCAGTACAAAGTAAAGAACACGCCTGTTAGATGTTTGAGATGATAAAATTCGACGCCATGACTTCGAGTACTGGTTGGAAACGCACCGTATAACAAAGTTTCGAGAAACAAAGCTAAAAATGAAGCTGTATCCAAAGGTATGCCCATTACGAATACAGTAATGTGACTGGACCCACAAATGAGAGCCAGACAGGAGATATGACCAATGGAAGTTTTTTGGAGCACAACTAAGCGCAGGTAGTCGCCTTCAGAGCCAGATAAATCGCAGTGCGGAGGGTGAAAATACTCATAATAGGTGTCTAACGTGCACAGACTATCCGAAGACTTCTATCAGTGTATATCGTAAGTGCAAGCATCGAAATTACTCACTGCTGTAACTGTCTAACCATTACCAGTGAGGTCTAGTTCAGCCCATTTTGATGTTCGTTACCCGATAACATTTTTGTGGATGACGGACTCTCTGAGTATTATTGTCACAGTAGCCGCAGATCTATAGCATTATAAGCTAGCTAGAAGCCATTGAAACCTCAGGATTCATGTTCCTAACCCTAGGTCTAGCCAGCACATTGATGCGAGTTACATTTTTGAGTGAGAAGTGCAGTGGTGTTCGGGTCAAGGTACCTATAGAATAGACTCATGCCGTCAAAGCTAAAATACGTCGTACGATGACCTAATTTACATACTTATCGCTCACAACTCTACATATATTTCATCTGGAGAACAAGTATTTAATCGACGCTGTAGAACCTTTTATTCACAATTCATGAGTGCAGCGTGACAGTTAGACTGTTGACTTGATTGAGTCTCCGCTTTAACCATCTAGCAGAATCGGAGCTGTCCGTGACACTCAGAGCGCTGTCGGACTTGAAATGCTATTGTGTGTTGGCCGAGATGCCGCGCGTGACAAAATGCATGAGTTTTCAATTTCCAGTGTTGCCGCTGCAACAAGCTCGCAATAAGATAAAATAAATTTTGTTGGGCCTAATCCACAAAAACTCGAGGTATACACTACAGTATATCTGATACTTATGAATATGTGTTGTCATTCAGCCACAAGTGAAAATTGTGCCTTTCCCGTCGACAGTCTTATCTTCAGATAAGAATGTATTATGTAATGTGGTTAGTTAGAGCGGAGCGCCGTAGCTTGAACGTTTGAACATTTAGGTCTTGCGGAATGGCACGGAGTTCTGGAAGCACTCGTTCTTGCATATCTGGAAGCTAAATTTTATGATTGATTTCGTCTCGAAAGGAACAAAACATCCCAGGTCAAGGCTCTTGCAGGAAAATCCTTCGAGCCGCAATTATGGTAACTGTAAAACTAGTTAGACCCGTCTCATGAACGAGATCGAACGGTGCTTCGGCCGGCACAACTAGCACTTACAAATTCACATTCTCAAAACTCCGTTCTTCGCCCGCTAGCTCTCCGATACTATCATTCGACGGGAAATGCACAATTTACACTTATTGCTGAATAGCAACACAACAACAACACATATTCGTATCGGATCTACTGTAGTGTATACTTTAGGTCTCTGTGCATTAGGCCCAACAAGAATTTTTAATTTTGTTGCGAGCTTGTTGCAGCGGCAGCACTGGAAGTTGAGGTGTCGAAAACACAATAGAAATGCACAATTTCGTCACACTATGTCACGCGCGGCACCTCGGCCAATACACAATGATATTCACAGTCCGACAGCGTGCAAAGCGAATGAAAGTCCAGTGTTCCGCACCGTTCATAACTTCAAGCTTCAATAACGAGCTCCAAATCAAATTTCATTGAGGGAATAATATCTAGTAATAAACACTAGGCTGTGCTGAGTGATCATTATTTGCTGAAACTCTATTTAATGGTGCAGGAAGGCCATGCAGGGGGTAAGGCATGTATCTGCCAGTGGACGGCCCAGCATGTAGCTGTGGTGGGAGGTCTTGTGAAGTTCGAAGAGGACGAGCCCCTTCTGGGGCTGGCACTGGCTGCATGAATCGTGTCTCGCGACCTGGATAATGGAGTGGGTATGCAGGTGGTGGATTAAATGAGGGGAAGGGTAAAGGACCGTTCATTTGCTGTGCCGCTTGACTCGAGAAGGGAGCGCCGTTACTATGCATAGCTATTCAGACATTATCAGCAACAAAATAAACATGGAAGTAAGTGAAATACAACCATGACTGATGCTTGGAACGAGCTGCTGAGATGGTGTAGCTTGAATGGGAGCAGTATGGTCAATTCTTGGTCGACTGTCCTTGTAATGTAACAATGTCCTCTGGTGTCTTCAAAGGAACAGATGCTGATATGTGCCGATTCTGCCGAATGCAAAGAAAGCGGAGACTCAACCAAGCCGAGAGTGTGATTTCCCAATCTAGCCTGACCGTCACGCTTTGCTCATGAATCGCGAATAGCATGCTGTGGTGGTGTCCTATTGACATAGAAACACCTGGAGTAGATTCAGGATGGTGCATTTCACATATTTTGAACTTTCTGTGTTGATAGGTTAATGGGATCTGGGTGGATCTTGGATTTAGTGTCCAAAAATCACTCATTTTGGGCACACTCGCACAATGTTTCATCTCGGGAAGGCTTCACAGCACCGATTTTAAAATTTTGAATTGGTAGTATTATTGAATGTATGCTAATAATTGTCCACCAGCTGTTCCGAATGAAATATATGTAGAGTGGTGAGCTCTGGAGTGCATTGTGCATTATCCATCGATTGTGCATTCCGAATCAGGTGATAGTACTTCCCTGAGGTTTTTTTTTGAAAACCCGTCTTGTTGCCCTTTTGGGGCCGTAGACCCTATTTCGGCACGGGGGGCTTACTAAGTTACTAGTATAGTTGGTCGAGTAGGCGTACCCGTACTCGGTCGGCATGCTGAAGTTCTCGAGGTTGGCCTAGGCTAGTTGGTCGCGTCACAATCGGATGTGTCATCGCATCCGTTGGGATCCAGATTTTTTGGCACGCGCACAAGGTCATCTGTCTATCTTTCAAATTGTGATATTCTCGTGGCTCCTACTTGACTTTTACATATTACTTTCAATTTCCATAGTCACGGTATATTCTACAACCTTCGTCTACATTCCGTTTGCGTCCGCCGTCTATCCTATCTATTTCTTCAGTAATGAGCGCCCGGTCATTTCTAATGGACACTATCAATAAGGCATCACGCCAAATCGCAAACAATTCTTACCTTCCGGCTGAGTTAAGCCCATAATCGCCAAAATAGTGGGTGCAACATCAGCAAGTGCACCCCCCTCTTCTCCTTCGCCGTCTTCCTCGTCGCTCGCAAACTCAAGACCCTGGGCTGTCATGATGAAAGGCACCTGGTTGGTAGTGTGTGCAGTATGAGGGGCACCAGTCTCCAAGTTGATCATTTGCTCCGCATTTCCGTGGTCTGCGGTGACGAGCAAAACGTATCCAGCCTCGACGCATGCGTCGTAAACCGTTCCGACCGCCTTATCAGTAGCAGTGATGGCTTCTACTGCAGCCTCATACACACCCGTGTGGCCGACCATGTCCGGCGGGGCAAAGTTGCACATGACGAACTCGTGCTCCTTGCTCTTAACCACCTCAGCGACCTTGTCTGCGACACCTTGGGCGCTCATCCCTGGCTGCTTGTCATATGTAGCAACCTTGGGAGATGCGATCATATAGCGTTCCTCTGCAGGGAACTGTTTCTCGAGCCCGCCGTTGAAGAAGAACGTAACATGGGCGTATTTCTCTGTCTCTGCGATATGCGCTTGAGACACGCCTTGTTTCGAAAGCCACTCGGCCAAAACGTTGGTCATGGCTTGGGGCGGGAAGGCTACTGGGAATGGGAACTCAGCGTTGTAACGGGACATAGTGGTGATGTGCTACACTATGCGATCAGTTCGGAATGAATTGTTCGGCTGAGATACGAACTTACCAGGTCTTTGGGGATGTCTATTTCCATAGGCTTGTCCGGGAGTCCAATGACGCTTGCGATCTCCCGCATCCGATCTGAACGGTAGTTAAAGAAAAAGAGGGTGTCTCCCTCTTTAATACGTCCCTCGTCTCCATTTACGATGATGGGCTTCAGGAACTCATCAGTCTCATCATTCTTGTACTTCTCCTCGATTTTTTCGAGGATGTCTTTACCCTCTTCGCCCTCGCCGCGAACGAGGCCATCAACAGCGATCTTGACGCGTTCCCAACGCTTATCGCGGTCCATCGCATAGTATCTGCCAACAACCGTGGCAAGTGTACCATACTCGATCTCTTTCATGAAGTCCAGCAGTTCTTGTGCGTAACCCTTAGCTGAGCGAGGTGCAGTGTCCCGGCCGTCGCCGAAAAAGTGAACGTAAGTGTGAGGAACGCCAGTTTCCTTTGCAGTCTCCAAAAGTGCCTTGAGATGTCTAATGTGGGAATGGACACCCCCATCTGAGACCTACGAAGTGAAGTTATGAAGTGATGCAGTGCACGGCCATCATCGTAACATACTGACCAGACCAAGGAGGTGAAGACGGCCATTTCCGTCCTTCGCATGATTCATGCTCGCAAGGATCGTCTCATTTTTGTGGAATTGCCGTTTGGAAATGGACACATCGATCTTGACGATATCTTGCCACACGATACGGCCTGCCCCGATGTTGAGGTGGCTAGAGTATTGATATAGGTCGTAGTTGAACGACAGGATAAATCGGGAACGCATGTTGTACACACCCAACTTCAGAGTTGCCCATGAGCCCATCGTTCAAACCGACCGCATTTCCATGTGCAAAAAGGGTGCGATAGGAATGTTTTTTGGCAATGGTGTCCATGTTGGTGGTGTCTGCTGCATCGATAGCATCACCTTTCATGCCTTTCTCTGGAGCGATTCCCCACCCATCGTGAACGCTGTAGTGATAATCGTCAATGAAGCAAGATCTTTACATTCGGGTACTACTGCGCTACCCACATCAGACAGACCTTGTTCTTGACCTCGGGCATGGTGGTCACAGTTTGAAGATGGTGGGAAGTCTAGCTGCTTGCTAGGCCTTAAATAGTGCTGTGTTTGCAGGGCGCACGACGCGAACAGGCTTGGTACCGACAAGCAGTGCCTTGGCGATAAAGCGATCTTTGCGTTGAGCGTCGGAAACGATAATCTTCAAGTTATTGTTTCAAACTCAGCGGCTCTGTTTCCATTTATATTCAAATCACTGAATCCTTGGATCAACAACTTCTCTCCTTCGTGGACTTGTCAGGGATCCTGGCTCATTAACTATAGGCTAGGGGCTGTTCTGTTGCGTACGGAATCATACTCCTCTATGTTATCGCGCGACTTATAATAAAATTACAGATTTATTGAAGACCCATTCACAATATTAATTAATGTTGGCCGCCGCGGGGGACCTGCCCTTCGATATGCCTAATTATCCTCGATATCTGCACATGACCTCCTAAAGTACAATTATTCTCGATGCTCATAGTTCGCACATCTCGGATAATAATCACCTACACTGTGCGGCCGTCTGGCGAAATCACTGTTCGGTTGCGATGCCCACGAACAGTTTGAATGACTACTGTCTTGCCCCATGTTTGCGTCGTACAGCTGGCTAAACCATTCATAATTTTGTTCTGTCAACATATGGGTCGTGTTTGGCGACATTGTGGTGTCGGGTGCACAGTGGCGCGCCATGTCGGTCCTACCATATGACCGCCATTCCGCAGGATCCTCGTGGATCACACTACAACCTAAACAAAGTCGTCGATTTAGTTGATCTCTATAATATTGGCAAGTTTTTCCTTACATGATGGTGATTGAGGATGTTCATGATTGTAACTTCCTCTAGGAAACTCATCCAGTGCCTTCTGTTGCGATAACAGATAGTTTTCTTCTGCTAAGCGTCTAAGTTCACGGGAAGCTTCAATGTGCTGTCAGAGCAAGAAAAACGATGCAAAGAGGTGAACAGACCTCTCCTCAATATTTCCTGTCTGGTTCGCGGACCATCCTTGGCCACCTCTCTCAAGGCCTCTCGGAGTTGCAAAAACCCATCCTCTTCTTTCTTCCTGTATCGCCGTTGAGCAGCAGATCTATTTCTATTGTCCCTCGCAGGCTGCGGAATTTGCAGACTTTGCGAGGTAGGAGTGTTGAAGTCCGTCATGTCGAAGGGAAGGTTCACCTGATGTAGAAGACGAAGTCTTGATGTGGTGATCGACTGGGGGTTGACATTGAAGAAGTGCATCATCTTATAGGCACATCCATACCACGTTTCGACATCTAGGGGAGTAGTTTAACGAGAACAAGAACAGGAAGAACATTTCTGGCAAGTTCATTTTGACAACATTTCGGCCCGAAGTGATGATCTTAAGGTTGAAATTCCTGCCCAGCAGCTTGGCGGTGAAGGTTCCTTAAGAAAATCGGGAGGGTTAGAACAACCTCAGGAATGCCCGGCTGTCACCTCGTGCGACTGGTATTCAACTTTTTCCCGTCGTGAACGGAATAGTCCACCTGCAACGCCGTGTTCTGCGCATCCGATAACTTCCTACAGAGATGCGAACTCAACGAAATACCCCGCACATACGCTATCAGAGTCCCACATGGTTGCAAGGCAGACGGCGTGTTACATGTCAGTTTGTGTTCCGCGGATGACATCGATGATGTCGCGCCCGATGTTGCTTGACAGATTGTGCACAGCCATAGATGTCTCCATCAACCCGGATGCATGCGCACCCCACGTTTTCGGCACCTGACTGCTTAAATGTAACCTACGGGTAACCCGGGACATGAAAACTTCGACTTCTGCTGATAGGCCGGAGAGCCGATCGTTGTACGAGACAATATCCCTATCTCTAAAAAAAAACCTGCTCAATTTCAGCTATAGGATTACGCCCAGGTCTGCAGATAGAGTCTCCGAACTCTTCTGGTGTTACATCAATATTCTAGGCTGCGCTTCGCTTTTTCGGTTTGCAATCCAACTTAAGCGCTGTTGTGTTTAAGGGATTTCGCAGTATACCTCGGCTTTGATATAAGTTACCCACTAGACGCCATTCTCTATTATTGTACATCTATGGTGCATGTGACTTCGACATGGAGCACTTTCACATTACCATCTGACTCATGGCATGGCTAGCGCCATGATATCGAAGCGCTCGATGGTCCGAACACCGATAATCGTGTCCTCAGCTCTGCCTACCTCGCAGCCAGTTCGCTGAGGCTACTCAGAGGACAACAGATATTTTTTGCTTCTGGTGAGAGGAGCTATGACATGAATATCCCTCTCACCCGAACTTTTCGAATACAGTCATAACCATATTCATGGAACGCCGTGGACACGTAGAAAAAAAAGCTTTTTCATCGATAGTGCCTGGTCGATCCAATAGGTCCATAATTCGATGGGGGAGGCACCAGAAATGTTCAAGAAAACGAGTCAATGGAGGTCGCGTCGCTGGGGGCTGACTCAGTTATTTGGTCTTCATCGATATTGTTCTACCAAAAAAACAATTCGATGGAGGAGGCAGCTGGTAGAACCACTCAAGAGTCATTCAGCCTGGATGGCTCGTACCTACGGCTACAGCTTAAACTACGTTGACCTAGCGCCCCTCAAAATTGTTCCAAGACATGGATTTTCCTGTACGTTGTACGTGTGTTTTCCATATTGATTTGCTGTACTAATGCGTCCGGAACTATGCTTTATGAAGCACAGGTGCCACGGCTCTAATTATCGGTATTCAATTTTCTTCCGGGAGTATCAGCTCCAATTCATCTTCCAAGGGTGCCTCTATACACTCCCATTTAGGCTCTAACTCCATATGGTGAACCCGCCAGCATTCTTTGAAAGGGAAAAGAATGTGTCCATGTTGATTATCTATTATACAACTCATGTTCTTTAGGACCCCAGTCCACCAAGACCCCTGGCCTCTGCATGCCGACTTCTGTGCTGTTCTTGCTTTGCTCTTACCCCTGAGCTACTCCTCACACCAACCCATCTTCGTGTAATACTTGTACTATGCTCCCACCTGCCGCTCACTGAGATGTTCCCTCCGCCAAATACTGTTGTAGGAAAAACTCGAGCTCTTCATCGGACAGTATCACAGCTGCGTGCATTTTACTCAGTCCGGAGAACACGCGACCGCAAAGTATCTTTATCTTACCTGCAGTATTGTTTTGGATCTCCCCGAGCTGCTGTTGCAGGTCGACTTGTTCTTGGCCCAGGCTTCGGAGACATTCAGTCGCTTTGTGTCTCGTCAGCTTTGCAAAAAGTAGACTTCAAAATACTCACCTCTCTTCAAGATATCGCGGCGTCGAGAGCGAGCATTAGTGCGCTCGACTTCGTTTAGGGCCCCCAACAGATTGTCAAAGGCACGCTTCTCCCTCGCGCGATAGTCTCGCTGAAGGTCGGCCTTGTTCTGCGGCTCTTGTAATGGTCTCTGGTTGTCCATCGTTTATCGAGTTCCGGCTATGGGAGATGCTAGTTCTGAGGACCAAAGATTCTCATTCAATGGCTTTATATCTTGTCCCCGTTCCCAGAAGCGTCAAGAAGGTACAGAATGGAACTTTCATACTGGCGACTTCATTGAACGGCTCTGATATGACTCTGATATGACTTTGATGTGACACAGGAAATAATAATAATTACATGGTTAATGTTTCCTCGATACATGCTCCATACAAGCGTCCCGTGGCCTCCCGCAGCTTCCCGCAGCTAATGCATTCTGATTCAGTTTCTATCGGTATGGTCTTTCGTCCGATCTCCTTTGACCTTACTACTGACCATCAATGTTCCTTACACGTCTCACAATAATACTATAGGGCTATGTCCGACATAGGTTCGTTGACCGGCCAAAGGACAATGAATATGAATTGAAAAAAAGACAGAAACGATCCTATATTACTTCGGTCAGCACCGCGGCCCACGGAGTTTCGGCCTACGGCACTGCATCGGGTCCGCGCGAGATTGAGCAGAGAAAACGTGGTGATGACAAGTGGCCGTCCTGCCACCCGTATGACTCCTACCACCCGCGCTTGAGTGGACCTACTATCCGATCGTTGTAATTTCCGCCCAGCAGTGATCCTTATTACGTATAACATGTGATTATCAGCCTCCCCATCCACACGGACGGATGTTCTCAACATGATACGCTTATCAGTTTGACTTATCAGAAATCAATACAGCAAGGTAAAATGAATTTTGGCCAAAGTGGTTTATTTGCCGCAAAATGAAATCATACATGCGACAAATCCACCCTCTGAAGATATAGACCAGATTCACTATCCGCATCTACAACCATCTCCTGTGTGCGCCGCTCGATAATGGCGTTTAGAGAAGCCTAGGAAAGTCCATAATGAATCTGCGAATATCGGAACATGCAAAACATCTTACTATCCGCTGGCTTCCTACCAGATAAGAAAATTCTGCCACACGACTCTCAGGAGACATATTGAGGATTTCTTGAAGCGATCCCTGATACAGCATCACGAAGGCTGCGAAATGGTTCATGCCCTCCACACTCGCAAGATCCGCTTCATCCTGGAAAGAAAGATGGGCAACATAACGTACATGCTGTGGGGCTGGATGAGAAACACGGAGTGGACACACCTCATGTTCATCAACCTGTAGCCACTCCCGATCTTCCCAAATTGCATTACCACCTTCATTGAAAGCCCATTCCTGAGCCAAGTTCCCAAACATTCTCACAAATAACGCCGCCTCGCCTACATCATTAGCAAACGCCCATTGAATCTTACACCCTGCGTTCTTCGTCCCACAACCCTCGGCGATGGTCAAGAGCCGGCGGAGCTTCTTAATTGCTTTGAGCATGGGAGGCGAAAACGCATAGGGCACTAGTTTGACGTTGTTGGTGATGATTTCTGCCGTAAATGCATTTGTACTTGGGAATGCCTCAAGAATAACAAGAATACGTGTATACCGCCAGGATGCCTGCGAGATGCGATCGACAAGTTCTTCGACCTGTGATGGAAGGGCCAGCAGCGGCGCAACCAGCACGGCTGTGTCTGGATCCATCACAATGTCCACACCACCTAACACATACCTCTCTACGAGATGCACCCGGCACTCGGGAGCCCGCAAGGCCCGGACAAGCGCGCGCTTCTGGATGAGAGCCATGCTTGCAAGATAGTAATGGCTCGCGGTCGGTGGGTTCCATACATCGGGGAGACGTATGGTGTCGGTGTCGAGGATTTCTAGAGGTACAGCACGGGGCGGCGAGGTGCTGCCGAGTTCCAAAGCCTGGGGTTCAGAGGAGATGACCGTGGGAGTTGCCGACGGGAGGGGATAATGCACCACGTTCTTGTTGCGCAGTGCCAAGTAGTCATTTAGAAACCTTCGCGTGACGATAGTGGCGGTGATGGGGTCATCCAGGCGTCTACGTTTGGATACGGGGAAAGCACTATTAGTAGCCATCTCCGGGACGAAATATCGTAAGAATGACGTCATGTTCGCCGGTTGGTCCTTTTCCGAGATGCCTTGAGTTTTCTTTGGGCTGTCGGTATCCGGTGACACTCTTCGTTCCTCATCATCATTTAAGAGTACGCATGGATCGGTCGGATACGTTGACACCCGCTCACTATGGGAGCCAAATGAAAGCGGGAAAAAGGCCGATTCCGTACAAAGGTCTTGGGTGTTAGCCATGGCATAATCTTGGTCAAGTCCGCCGAGAGGAGGCCTGGCCGGATATGGACTTGGGCCGTACCGGTGCCATGTCGATGACGGGAAAGATGAAGGTGGTCCTTCGTGGTCTTGATCCCTATCTTGCTCCTGATCCTGGAGTTGGCGGTCGTCCTTGTCGTCCTTGTCAGAGTAATCAAAATCGTCGAGTGAGTAGACAGCTTCCAGAGGACTCGGGTCATCTCGATCTCGATAACACGCCTCATTGTCGCAGAGGTTGGAGAATGTAACACCACGATAATCGAACGCAGTTTCTGGATCACCGAAAGTAGCACCAGAAATACCATTATCTGCAACATCGGAGTGGTCGACAACGTTAGGAATGCTATCCAAAATGTCAGAATCATGAAAGACAGGGTGAGGAGGCTTCGCGGGCTGATCATCATTGTCCGTTTCAAGTGAGGTTTCATCTCCGCCCTCGACATCTTGTCGTTCGTGGTAATCTTCGCCATATTTAGCACCATGTTCATGCAGATCCTCGAATTCAGGAAGGCCGGCATGAAGTCTTCGTTCTCTTTTCGTCAGCACCAGTTCAAATCCCTCTCCTAGCATAGAAGACCTGGAAGGCTGGGGAGGCGAGAGACCAAAATTCCCTGTCCCGCGTTTGTCTTTTGGTTTCTTCGATTCCGCTATGTTGGCCGAATGACATGAAGCAGTTTCAAGGTCTGCAAGCAGTCCGTGGATCTTTGCATCGCTTGCTTTGTCAACATAGCCCAGTTTCATGAGGTCATCTAGAGCAGGTTCAGTGACAAGGGAGACGCTTTCGTCGGTTGGAATCGGGGGCGCGAATTTGAAGGGTCTGCGTGTGCCAGTATATGAGAGCAGTTTCAAGACGACTAGAGAGTGTTCGTATTCTAATCGAGCTGGAGAGCGGACCACATACCTCCAAGATAACTCGAGGTTGAGTGGCTTGATGCCTTTTACGGCTTCCAGTGAAGTGTGCCGCCGAACGTTTAAATTGTCTCCACGTATGAGAGCCCTCATGCTTGTAGGCCGCAGAGACGGTCCCAGGTGCACTGTGGGTGGTGGAAGGTGTGGCACTGTCGGGTGACGGTGGTGTAAGAAATCCGAAATTTTGAGAAGACACCCAGAAGAAAATATCGAGAAAGTATATCAAAAAGAATAAAATTATGAAGACTGCTATCAGCCACAAAAATGACAGAGACTGACGCACCGTCCATCAATGCGACATCCTTTTCATCCAACCTTTCCGCCAATACACACCCCTCGACGTTCTCCTCTTGCACCTCTCGGTATATATGCCTGAGAGTCATGTTAAGACCCTGTTCTACATCAATATCTTCCAAGGCCTGATTTTGACCTGACTTCTTTCTTCTGTCTGTTCCCGCATGCGTAGGCAGGGGTGAAGCAGCACAAACAGAAGGTGGCTGCCCAAGCATAGAGTCTTCTGCATCAAGGATCCTCCCATCCTCCGTGCTTGGGGAGGAATGAAACAGCGCAATATTGGTATTCTGATTCATCAGCGCTGTAGTATGGCCTTCTTTTGACTTCGCAGCAGCCACAGGCTTCAGGTGCTCGATAAGTGACTTGAGACTAAAAAAGCGTGAGTAAGCGCTCGTATATGGACTGCAGCACGCACCTGTTAGAACTCCTTGGTTTGAGTGAGTACGGAAGTATATGCCCAGGTTTGCGAACGCGCGGGATCTCTACTTCGTCTACCAGCCCGTGATGAATAGCCAAACAAGACATGGTTAGGGGGCGAGTTCAGGGAAAGGTACTGAATAGATGAATATATGCTCACCCATTCTAGCACCGAAAAGACTTGTAGCAGGCGTGCCAGGCGGTGTCAGTGAGTCCTCCCATAGTTCGTCGATATCTGTCTCCTGTGAGGAGATAGGCGAGACGGAAGGCGGAGAAGATATGGGGTGGACAGCTACACATTTGGCAGTCAGCCTGTCCCCTACATACTGAGAATAAAGAACTGGGAACGACCTACGTACCCCATCCATCGACAATCGACATGCTGACAATGTCTACATCGTCCTCTAACTCTTTCGGAACAGGAGCAGGGACAGCATTCAGCCTATCCGCGATGTCCTTTGCATTCGCGATACCTGTCCATAATGAACCCGGGCTTGCTTTAGATCGAGGAAATAGAGGGGGAGAAAGTGGACGTTGAATCTGAAGTGGTGGGGAATTGGCGCGCAGGAAAGAAGTGACATGTACGTTGGTCTCGGTTGACTGTGCAGGCGGATTTGCCAATTTAAATAGCGAAAGGATGCAAGTGCGGGTAGTGGATTCTATCGTGGGGCGAACATTCCTGTTCCACCTTTGTGAGTGGTGATCTAAGAGCAAGAAAAAATTCGCGCACAAAACCTCCTCTAAGTTAGGTAAATCCAAGTCCTCAATTTGTGCGACCACTACAGACTTGACACCAGTGTGCTCGAATAGCGCAGGCTGTGTGCGAGGGAGAGATGCGCGCAGGACGTTGAACCCTGCTTTCGGGGTCTGCTTTCGCGCACGGTTGGTAAGGATGGGTGTCATAGGTCTGTATATCTCTGCAATGTGCGTATCTATAACACGTTACGTCAAGATATTGTGAGCGATAAAAAAGAATACAACGGACACATGTGATCCTCCTCTCGCCAGCATGCCTCGCTGCGGAGCTCCCTGCCTTCACCCACAATAGTCTTGAGTAATAATTTGATCTTGCGTACGGTATTTCCGTCTGTCGTCAAGCGCTCGTCAAAGGAGAGGTCTTGATCCTTCAGAGATTTAGCGAGGGTATCGAGTGGATCTGGAGGTAGCACGAGTGCGTGCGGGTCCGCTAACGGGACAAAATCTAAGGATTCTGCGAAGATCTTTGCCACGTCTTAGGTTCCATTATGTATCGTTGGTCTAAAACTACACACCTGCTCAAGCTTAAACTCGGTATATGCGACATGGTCTCTGGTAATGTACCTCCTAGCGTAAGGAAGGAAGGTCTGGCGAATGTGGTTGCGAACTGTGAGCTCGTATTTGGGTGATATCCCAGATGGATCCATATATGTAGGATGAAAATCCCAGTCAGTAATGAAGTCAGCTAATAAACAATATGAAACGACTTCAATTGAAGTCCAAAGGAGTTATGTCACGTCACACCAGTCACGCTCGCGCTCTTTTGCAATTTAATATTTTGTCCTACTAGTAGGCTTTAGTCGCAATAGATGCACTAGTACTGATCTCACGAGTGAGTTTGTGCCCTTCATTTTTGCGACGACTCGACTTTTTTGAATCTGTTGCTGACAAGGACCACATGTGACATCACACATGGCAGGGCAAGCGGCCCACGCCATATGAGTCGAGGTCCTTAGCATAAGCACCGGATTTCGGTGCTGCATGATGGGTAGGAGTGCATACAACGCCCTCACGCAAATCAGACACTCAACATACTCAACTATCACGTCCATTGCAAATTTACAGTGTCTTGCCACATGAGGTGTTACACATTGTGCAACCTACCTGTAAATCGTCAGCCTGAGTGCATCTCAGCCTCTCAGGGGCGATAACCTCTGGCAAAGCTCTGACCCCAAAGTAACGAATTCTGGAAAATACAAATTGAAGCCGAAATTGGGTGTACATTTCCAGATCAGTGTGGTGCAACTTGATTCTTGTCCACAGTACTTCATTGCACGATCTCTGGCGAGGCAACAAAGTGGAAAATAAAAATCGAAGTCAAGATTGGGTGTACATATCATGTAGGTATACAGTTTGGTATATCGAAGTCCTGGACAAGTAATAGGTTGTGCATCAGTGCGTAACTATGACTGGACACTACATGAGAAGTCAGATTTTTTCAAAAATGCTTTAATCAACAAGGTGGGAGGACGCGGAGGACGCACAGAATTGATCATATGCCAGTATGCACAGACACTATGCACTGGTCCAAGGGCATTATAATGTTCTCATTGTAGAAAGCTGATTCCCACTGGGCTCAGCAGAAATCGTACTACCTAGACAACAAATATTTAGGTAGATCTTAGCACGACCTAGTCTGCTATACTTGCAGAGCAAGTGCGTTCGATCCTATAGGGGTAGCTGTTTGGTATTAGTTTAGATAGTTAGTTATCAATAATAGGAAGATAATCCGAAGCTAGGAACTACTTGTCCAAAGGGAAACTGTTGGGTCAGAAAATATCGGAGTTGGGTTGGGCGTCGGACTATGCATCGGACTGTTGGGAATGTGTCAGATGGTGAAGGAATGTGTCGGAAGTATGTCGGATTGTTGGTCAAATGAGTGTCAGATGTGTTGGAATGTGTTGGAGGAAAAGAGTGGATAGATATTTCGCAATACAATCAAGTACTACTAATATCTAATGACTTCCATCCTACTACTGAGTAGGGAAAAGTAAGTAATGCAATAGGTGTTACAAGAACATCTAGACACTTGGGCCCCTACTATTTTTCTCCTCATCCTCCTCGTATCAGCCCTTGCATCATACCCTTACCCTGACCTCACCCTTGTTATCCTTGTCATCCTCGCATTCCCTTTCGCCCTCTATCTGTCGCTTCAGCAGAGCCAGTACATCTGGCTGGATCCTTTCGCTGATGAAGCATACCCATGCTCCGTTCCACCACCTGACTGATCCTGTGGACAGTCCCTTTGCCCTTACTGTCTGGACGGTAACCTATGATATGATGCACGACGCATCCCCTTTGCCCTTTTCCCTTTCTTGATCTCTGACTCGGTGCGCAGTCGCACATGTTACTTATATTTAGCTCCACAGTTGCACGATCGTGCCCCTGTGTGTTTCACTTCTTATTTCTGATCTTGACTCACTTTCTTATCCGCACGTTCAGGATTCACCCATGTCTCACCTCGAACGTGCCTTCCTTTTATGGTTATGCCCTTTACCGATTGCTTCTCCTGGTAGTACGAGTTATCATCCACTAATACACTTCCCGTCCTCTATATAAACTCGCTACCATGTAACATATTCCCTAACTTGAATCTACTTGGTTCTTGACCTCATACTCTCACCAGAGTGATCCTTTCTGCCTAGCCAGCAGTCTATATTCTATCTTCTTATCTGCTCCTCGTGGATAAGTCCTTAGTCTCGACCTTTACTCATCGACTTCGTCGACGAGCAAAGCCCCTGTTAACTAGTCGGACTTCCGTCCTTCTAATTAACAACGATCTTACGATTAACCTTTGGGTGTCGTAAGTCTTGGCATATACAGCTCATCGTCTAGCATCCGCTTGACGTAAGCTACCCGATTCGGACATAGGCGTCAAATCTTACTTGCCGAAGCCTCGCCAAGTAAGACCCCTAACCTTGGGCTAGCCCAAGGACGTCCTCAACTATTGACGACACACGCTCTGTTTGAGCGTCGCCAACAGATACCATCCAAGTCGTAACAATAGGTAGGAAGTACTAGATATTAAATAGTGTCTATGTAGGATTTTGGAGTGCATTAGGCGAAAACAGTAGCGCAAAATCGGGTCTGAATGTATGTAAAAGAGCATGTGTACTGCACCTTTTTGTAGATAACATGTAATAACGCTGTCTGTAATGTTCAGTAATGCGAAACGAGTAAATACCCACCAGTGGGGGTAGATACAACTGGACAGGACATAGGGAGGACGAGTCTGATGCAAAAACGTCGGGTCTGAAACTTTTGGGTCAGGGTCGGGCATCGGGATCGGGATCGGGATGCGTCGGACGAATACTGTTTAACATGAGTATCAAAAACACAGGTTTTAAGTCCAGCACCGCGACTATCATTACATTGTCACAAGCCAATGACTGGACTGCTCGGTGCAGCGCCCAGGCAGCTTGTTTGGAGTTCATTGGGCCATCCCCACATAAGTTTTTGTAGAATGCCTCGACTAAGTGCTGCACAGTACTATTGGCCTTCCATAGTGTCCTGACGATGCTGTTGACCCTGGCAAATTGCAGGAGGTGTATCACTTTGTCAGGTGTTGTAGGGACCAACTACGGTTTCACAGGCAGAGAGAAATGCAAATTCATGCCGAGATAGATCCATCTGTGTGATGTCGAGGAGTGAAAGTGGCTGGTTGCGCAGAAGAAAGGCTGTGTCACAAGTACCTTTAAAAAACCATTATTCTTTCTTAAATCTTCCTAAGCGTCAATACACAACGCCTAAGATTAACCCTAACCCTACTCTGAAAGTGTCTACCAATTCGGAAATACCTTTAGCACCCACGACACGTGTCTTCGATGTGACTGATGAAGAAGACGAGTTCTTTGATTGTGAATAGATTAGATTAGATATGATAAGATAAGATATGGTCACGTGATACTTCTTTAATATTCTACGACGTTGTATGGTACAATTCCCTTTTCCTTTTTATGATTGGCTAGTAGTTGTATCTCAGTTTCAATCTCAGTTTCAATAGTTGTATATAGGTAGCACGTCTTGGTTGATAGTTCCTTAGTTCAAACCTCTTGTATCTACATTGTAGCAATCCAAGACGTACTTGCTCCATCCTTTCTTGTTGTGATAACCTTAGTCCGAGTCCTAGTCTCTGCCCAACGTTAATTCGTTATTGGGTTGTGACAGGCTGACTTGAAGGGTTCATCAATTCTCTGGGTTCCGTGACATGTGAGATGGAATCAAGTATTGTCCCACAATGCACACAGTACTCTCGATTTTGTGGCATCAGCACTGGGAATCTTGGAGAAGGAAACAGTAGGGGGAGGGGACAAAAGTCTCTGCATCAGCTCCAGCTCAGCATCCAAAGTGAATGAGGCACTGGCTGAGCAATCCGGTATCAAGATATGACCCTTACACATATTTAGCCTTTTCATTTTACACACACGAACACTCCTCATACCATGTGTCATACACATTCCCTATTGGTTCTCTGTCCCAATCAAACATATTAATTCCTCTCCTCATCAAATAATCTCACTCAGTCTTTTGAACCAAGACTGAGGTGAGCTATCTTACTGACATCCCTACTCTACTCCTACTAACTACTACTCTACTAGTTTTGTTCTCACCCTTAGGTATGATTTATAGTTACCTTCAGTCTTTTGAACCAAGACTGAGTTTTGTTCTCACCCTTAGTTTCTCTAGTCCGAGTCTTGTCACCCCTAACAGGTTATGAGCCCTGACTCAGGCTAGGCACTACATTCGTTTCTCACTTCCACTTGCCTTATCTGAGTCTCTCCAACTTTTCCTGAACTGGAACAAGGTTGTCCTCTATCTCCGCTTGACCCACAGATCTTATCCATTCTCTTGCCTCCATCACCGCCATTGACTCCTGTCATTCCACCTCGCTCATTACCAAACCCACTCACTCTTCCCATTCTATTGTCGCCATCGCCGACACATCGTTCCACATCCGCAATGTCTACCATATCGTCATCAAACATTCAAATTCCAACATCCTTTCCCCATCCTCCTCTGGATGCCAATGGCTCCAACTACACTTCGTGGGTAACATCCATGGACCTTTGGCTCTTGCTTTCCAACCTTTGACATCTCCTCTCTGGTGATGAGAAGGGTCCTCCATGCCCCATCAAAAGCTCCACTGAGACTGATGTTGATTTTAACAAGCACCTTGCAACACATGATGCAAGCTCAGACGTCATCTCTTTCCGAGAATGCCAAAGCATAACCAAGGGACTCCTGGGTATGGTGGTACACTCAAGTGACCTTATCCATTTCATGGCAGTCGTTGACCCGGCTGCCATCTGGAAGGCGCTGGAAGACAAGTACCAGGCGTCTGTCGGCATTCGTTTCACAAGCCTTATGGGCCATATTTTTGACCTTCCCAAAGCTTCTGATAGCGACTCCCTTACCAAAACCATCAAGGAAATCACAGACATCAAAGCCCAATTCAAGGTCATTGAGTCTTTGGAATGGAAATGCAACAAATATACTCTTGTTCAAGTGCTTCTACATGCCCTTCCTGACTTCTACGTGCCGCTCTCCCAGCTCATACTCCACAGTGCTGATGCCAATGCCGGAAAGCTTACGCTAGAAGGTGTAATCAGCCAGGTCAGAAATTTAGAGCAGTACTATGCAAGTTTTGGCTCCGCAAACCCGCATGCACACCACACAGCCAT